GGATGCCTAGAGACTCTGTAGTCATACGCATAGTTATTTCGAGTTTCTTCTTAGTTAGTTTAACCTTTTATATTTTAAGTTCGTTTTTTTGGTTTTTTTGTGTAAGGGATGTTAACTGAAATTTTGATCTCGCTTCCGCATTCGATATATTTAAATACTCATTTCTTTTTTAATATTTTCCGGGGCCGTTACACCAGACCATAGATCAATCAAACTCTGATATTGCTTGTTGGATCCCTAACAGAGATATAATTAATTGTATAAGTTAAAGTAATCTTAAATTAATTCGCATGAACTAATAATAATAATCTCAATTTAAATTAGTGCACAATCGAACAAAAATAATAAGTAGATAATATCACTAAAATTAAGTAGATACAGAATTTTACGTGAAAAATTATTCAGCATAAAAGAAAAAATTATAGATCAAACTCCGAATCAAATTCATTATCAATAAAAATAAGTACAAAATAATCCATAAGGATTAAATCTATAACAAAAAGAAATAATTTTTCTTTGTACAGAAGTTGAAGAAAAAAGTAAACAAAATAATCAAATTTAAACTTTCCTATTAAAAAAAAAAAAAAAAAAAAGAAGAAATTGCTTATGTCAGCGATGATGTCATTGATGGGTAGAGAGAATGACAACCTTTCTTTTCTCTTTTGGCGGCCACTCTACCACTCTGCCCTACGTATATATATACACACACACACACACACACACACACTTCCTTTCTCTTTTTTCTTCATTCTTTTTCTTTTTCTTCTCTCTCTCTTTCTTCTGCACGACCACTCTTTTTCGAAATTTTTCCTTCTCTTTTTGCTTGATCGTGCAACATACATGTATTAAGCTTTTTTTTTTTCTTTTTTTTTAAATCACTGATTTGTCCTTTTTTTTTTTTAATGGGCTAGATGTTGACAAAAAGTTCATGTTGTTTGAGGCCATTTTTATTTATTTATTAAGTCTATTAATGTTTTAGCCTATGCTACTTATGTTTTAAATTACTCATGAGACAACTTTTTAGACCAAAAAAAAAAAAAAAAAAAAACAAAGAAAGAGAACAAAAGGGGAGAGAAAAAGAGTATTATTGTTAAAAAATTACATCTTTAATTGTTCCGAGGATCAAATGACTATTCGTACTCAATCAAGTTGAAATTTGGTGGATATTTAGATTACTAAATTTATTCATTCTGAACGATAGAGATCGATTTTAGACAGCTAGATATCTGGTATTTGTGATTTAAAGTTTATGATTCATAATATTTTTGAAACAGTAACTAGTTTGGCTTTCCCATATGATCAGATAGTTATTTGTGATTTGATTAGGTTGAAATTTAATGAGTACATTTAGAATAGATTGTTTTCTAATATGGATGATGGATATCATATTTGAATAACCAGAGCTTATCCGGTTTGCATGAGTAGTAGCTATTTTTAATGATATTTCTCTGTTTGCTTATTCATCTTATAGTTGTTGTAAACATTAATTTTTGATAGTAGGACTTTTTTATTTAGACAAAAAGAAATCCTGTAGTTTTTATTTTTCACGTTTAAATTTTTTATATTTTTGTGTGATTGTTTTTATGCATTTTAAAGCAGATTTTATTGATATTTGTTTATTAAATTTTACTTAATTTTAATTCATCATAAATTCATTTAGGTAAGAGATAATTTTTTTGGTATTAATTTTAGGCCAATTTATCTTGATTCCTTCTCATCATATTATTCATATATATGAACAAAATTGGGGACCTTGATCGCCACAGTCTATATTAAGATATCCTCATTATCAAATGACTCATTACATTCGTAATTATATGCTTACCAAATTACCCATTTTTGACATTTTCTATTTTTTTTTTTAAATTTAAAGTTCCTAGGCAAAAACCTTACATGAAGGGTTCCTTGCAAAAGCAAATGAACCAGAGAGGATACAGACGATTGTAATCCAATCCATTCAAAAGTGACCGAGCTCATTTCCCCATGAACGACTCTTGAGGTTTTTGAGGTCCAACTCTAGCTCGGACCTAAACGTGGGAGTAAAATCTAGAATACTGTTTGGGAGTGGATCATGGACGAGGAGGTCTTCCAGAAGAGGAGAAGGGCTCCAAGAGAAGAGGGAGGATCTGTCGATTATTAATTTTGGGCTCGTTTAAATGAGGAGCCGGGTATAGGACTGGATGAGGTGCTATCAGTACTCCAGGCTTGATTTGAGAGCTCTGGGCTAGTAGAGATGAAGAGCCCACGACTACAAAAGTAGGGATAAGATTGGAAGGGTTCAATGTTAACAAGGTAGAGGGCTTAGTGGAGTCAGAAGTTAGGGGAATACAGGGATGCTGACAGGGATCACATGAGAGACACAAGAATGAGAAAGCTGTGGGAAAAAGGAAGCGAATGAGGAAGAGAAATTGGTTAAGGAGTTTGAGGAAGGGAATGATGAGCAAAATATGTAGGGACTAGCATAAGGGAATGAGAGAACGTCAGTACAAGCTAATTGACTGGCCTGTTGTATAATCATTTACAGGTTTTCCAGGGAGGAAACGGTAGTATACAGCCAATGAACCAGAAGACAAAAAGGACCTTCCATGCAGGGAAGGAACAGCCTAGAAGCAATTTTATCTTATAAACTTTTTAATTGACAAAATGGGTTGTTTAGGATATATTTTTATGTGCGTTAGAATCACGATATTTTCATATTTTTTAACCGGATCAAGGAAGTATTTTTTTCCACGGTTAAAAAATTAGCCATAAAAAGGTGTTGCAAATAATTTACAATCTAATATCTTTTTTCCCTAGTCTGATGTCTAAAACTATTAACGAATCCCTGTACTTTGTCATTGAAAAATATCATCGTACAATATTGGATTTGCATACGATACTGCTGGATGGTTAATGAATTCTGAATCCTGATTCAGTTGTCGAAAATTTTCAGAGTGGTAATTTGGCGGGAGTGAATTGACATTTTGAAATTCAAATGTTTGAGTAGCACCAGCATTGTCATTGAGAAAGTGAGAAATTGGAGCCATGATATCCATTTCTGATAGATGTGAGAGTGACGATGTCCATGGAAATTTCAACTGCTCATGGAGTGTGGTTGTGGCATTTCTTCCACTAATTTATGAGATTCCAAAACTTTTGACAATTTTCTTTTGTAGATCCTACATAGAACCCAATCATCCAGCTGAAACTCACAAAAACAAAAGCATATGCAACCAGTAAGTAAAAATGGAATGTGAAAAAATTATACGTATTTGATTCAAATAACATAATGTTTGACGATCTAACTACGAAAAAAGAGAAAAAAAGAGAAACGCACTCGCATGGATCCCTTGGATTGCTTACGAGACTGATTTAAGCGATATTCATGCATAATCCAATTAGTTTTGATCCCTTTTGGAGGTTTACCCTTGTAGAAGACAAGAGCTTTCTTGACTCCAACATAAGTTGATGAACTATAAATTGCTTTGTCAGTTCCTGTAGCCTTCCAGTAACCGGACACCGTTGCCCTATTGGGTCGCACTCCATTTGGGTACTTACGTTCTCTAGGACTGAAAAAGTACCATTCATTTTCTCCAAACTCAGCTTTATCTGTATATGTATACACACACACACACATATATATATATATATATTTATGTACAGTCAGTTAATATTTTAGTAAAAACGAAATAAAATGAATGAGGAGAGGAATGTTTGGTTACAAACCAGGTAATTGCCATGGATCGAATTTGTAAATATTGAGTTCAGGAATTATTGATGCAGGACATGGTCTTGAGAAGAGTTGATTACGAAGATAATACATGATTAATTCCTCATCTGTTGGATGAAATCTAAATCCAGGAGGAAGATTGGAGTTGGATTTTCCTTCCATTTTTAACAATTATATAATATATATATATATTTTTTTTTTTTAAAAAAAAAATAAGAAATAATAGAAGGTGTAAGAAGAGGATTAAAGTGTTTGAAATGTTTGCAAAGAGAGCGCAACGGCTTTTATATTTGAGTTGCTTTTGTCGTCTTAGTATTTGCTTCCTTTTCATTGGTTGTTGTTTTGACTTTTTTGTATACCTCCACCTAAACTCCTCGTGCCCACTCTCACTATGCACGCGCCATTCTGTGTTTGACTTCACTTTTTTGCATATTTCCCACAGTAATTATTTATTATATCAATGATGTGTAAACTTGTATAAATTGCTCTTAAGCATTAATTAATTAAACGAATCGAACAATAATATCGTAGAGAAAAATAATAATAATAATAATAAATAGAAAGAGAAAATATGTTTTTGTTTTGATTAATTCAGCAGGCAAATATCAAAACAATAATGTCAAACTTTGATTGCTTGGTTGCGTATTCATATGGAATAACAAACGAAGCGAGTATTCTCTTTTCCATACTCGAGGGCGTCCAGTCTTTCACACAGTGACACGTGTCCCGACCACAAGTATCTGGTTGACTGCGAACCTGGAGGATAAGCACAATGAGAAAATTCAGGCTCCAATTTTCTTCACTCCGTGGTTCTTATCTTTCCAGCTCACCCCACTGGGGTATCTTTAATCGTCTCACGGTGGTTTTAAACTTGATTCTTTCGATTGAGATCGAGATGCCACGTGGCGACCTGGTTATTACAAATTCCTTAGCACGCAAAGACAGGAATATTCTGTGAATCAAGCCAACGCGTAGTTTTTTTTTGGCTTGTCGTTTTTTGACCCAAACTCCTCTCTTTTTTTTTTTTTTTCTTTCTTTTTTTTAATAAAGCATTAAATGGGGGGTGGGGAATTAACCACACGTAGAATAAAAAATATATATATATATATATATATTATTATGCTTGGCTTTAATTTATGAAAAAGTATCAGGCATTTTAAATCATATGTTTATATCGTAGACTTGGAAAAATTTATTAACTCTACTAATGGATGATTTTATTATTTTTATAAGTATCTTATTAAAAGATCTAATTGAGCCGTATGAATCTCCAGAGTTGGTGACAATCTCACAATTATTTAGTAACAACAATATAATAGGTGATGCTAATAATCTCCTCTATACAGGGATAACGCAAATATAATAATAAAATATGTAAATGTAATTTCGTTACAACATAAATTAGCCAGAAATCTTTATATTTTCTCTTAATTTTTTTATAAAATAAAAAATTAACTAAATTTAACCTAAAATACAAAATTGTCTTAAAAACAAGCTTTTGAAAGAAGAACAACTCTCTTTCTTGATTGATGTTCCTCAAACATTTTTTGGCAAACAATAATACAAGTATATCCACAACTTTAAATATCTAAATTAAAGAATCTCCATGTCCACTCTATAAGTCTTTACAAATTCATGCTCTCTAATCATTAAAAAATATATTTATTTATTCTGCGAGCTTGCTGAAACTTTATTTATTTATAATGAATCAGATTGATTAGAAAACGAATAACCACTGATTGGAGGGGGGGAGGGGGAGGTCCAATAATGAACACCATTGACTTTTCGATCCCAAAGGTATGTTTTGGACGGGAAAAGTCTGAAACTGTGATGGTAAGTTGTAATAAGGTCTGGACAGCACACAGCACTATGACTTATACCATAAATTACAAGAAAAACTTGTACAACTTCCGAACTTATACTATAGAGTAACTAAAATAATATACTTCCAATATTCCCAGAGCATAAAGAAGAAATATTAAAATAAACACAATGCTCTAACTAATTGTTATTTTTTTGATTACCCATAAATCTTTCTGGTGTCAAAGACTGTGTGGTAAATGTATTTTTCTTCAAACTATTAACATGGGGAGAAGTATTCGGTAAAGTAACTCTATTTCTTGTTACTTCCTGGATTTCCTACAATTATAAGGCGGCAACTAGTGAATTTGAGCCAAGATTCTATCTAAACCTGTTGATTGCTCGGTTAATTACCATTTTCCAAATAGAACACACACACACAAACACAAAGTTGAAGTTTGAATAACTATCAGTTTAATACCTTTCTTCATGAAAGTCAGTCAAACCCAAGAAGATACCTCATTGCTTTCTTTTTGGCAATCTTCCCATAAACTCCTCTTCCTAATTTCATTGCTCTCTCCATGTCCAAAAAGCTGCTGCTGCTGCCGCTGCCAACACCACCATTTTTCTTCAAACCCTCCATCACAATCTTCAGTATCCTCTCATCACTGCCCACAGCATCTACAACACTATCCACCACACTTTCTATTGCAGGAATTCTCCTGCCCCACCTCCTCATCAGTCTTTCAGTACTGTAAACCTCAGAGTATGTACCCCAAAATGATGCTCTCAAGTAACCTCTCTCTTTTCCTCTCACCACCCTCTTTCTCATTCCTTCCTCTAACCTGAAAATTGCTCCACCCACATCCACTCCTCGTTCTAGACTTACCTCAATCTCTCTCATTTCTTGCTCACAGTAAGCTCCTTCTTCCACCTTGCATCTCTTGCATTTACAAACGAAGCCCCATTTCTTGGACATTTCCTTGCGCTTGCCCAGTTGCGAAAGCACATCAAAATAAGCCAACGTGATTTCCTCACCTGCCTTGATGTCCCTTGACGCATGGAGTATTACATGGTCATTTACGTGCAAGCGCCTCGAATTAGGATGGCATGAATGGTTGATGAAGGATGTTAACACCCACAACCCAACACCATAATACTCACTGTTCTTCCCCATTACCTTTGCTGAAACTGCTTCTTCAACCAAAGAATTCACATCCAGAATGCTTAAAATCCTGTTAGTATCCAGTTTTTCATACGAGCTGCTTCTCATCTCGGACTCAGGCCTGAACAGACTAATGTCTGGAACCGGAAGCGCATCCTCATCTTCACCAGTGGATAATATACTGATTAATTCCCGAGTTTTTTGGCATTTCGTGGTGGAATCTACAACTTCATCAATTAAGCTTCTCCACATTATCATTTGAGCATTTTCGCCTGAATCTTTAGCCGGCAAGATGCTCCTCTGTGTGGCAATTGCCTTAGTGACCAAAATCAAAGTCCCAGCATCGATGTTCTTCGTTGCAAATAATCCACGTCCGCTGATCTCAGATCTCTCGATTTGCAGTGCACCAATGTACTCAGCAAGTTCCGGTGAATCACCACGAAAATCACCTAGGATCCAATCAGAGAGATCAAACGCTCCAGTTCTTGATTGGAACTCAAAGCTTCTTGCATTTCTCCAAATACCCATTAAGGTCCTCGAAGTCTCCATTAGCCTGAGGATCAAGCAACGCAGTCTTGAAACAATGGAGAGCCATGGAGTATTTACTAAAGCTGAGCAGATCTTACCTTTGCAAACCAGGGCCTTGAAGTGGGTGGCTTCAATCTTCAACGCCTCATCACAATCCCTTAGGGCTTCACTACATTCTCGCAGTCTGAATCGGGCTTCTGCGCGGTTAGAGAGGCTAAGCAGAGCGATTTCTGTAGCTTGGGGAGACGAT